AAAAAAAAAAAAGGCAGCCATATAAAGATGTTTATAAATCCATATGATACATATGACTACATATGATAGACTGTACAGACATTAAAATGATAGTTTTAAATGACAGTATGTCCACATGATGAATGATTATGCAGCCATTAAAATGATGGTTATGAAGACTTAATTTAAATCAAATAAAATTTAAAATTCGGTCTCTTATTGACACTAACTACATTTTGAATACTCAATAGCCACATATGGCTAAGTAGCTACTATCCTGGGCAGCACAGATGTGGAACACTTCCATTACAGATATTCTAATAAATGACACTTTCACAACTTAAAAAATATTAAACCTATAAATTTGTAAATATATACATATATTTTTCACTCTGTAACTTAAAAATTTTTTAAACTGACACAGATAAAAGAAAAAAAAAACATAATTCTTTCACCTTAACCCAACTTTCTCCCACTCTTTGTTCTAATTCATGCCTTTTTGCACAGGTGTAACCATAGTACATACTGCCTACTTCCTTGGTAGACAATGGGGATACATTCGTAAAGAGAATACACTGGGTCCCTGCACACAGTTAGAAAACATCAAGTAGTGATGTGTAACCCAGAAATTAAAATTGATTCTTATGATAGTGACTAGAGGGTATTAGGATTACTTAGAAATATAGATAGGAATGGTCTCTTTATGGAATTTACATCCCAGCTGAGATTTAAAGGTGAGAAAAAAGCCAGCCATTTTAAAAGCCTTAAGAATGCTTCAAACAGCCGGGTGCAGTGACTCACACCTGTAATCCCAACACTTTGGGAGGCTGAGGCGGACGGATCACCTGAGGTCAGGAGTTTGAGAACAGCCTGGCCAACATGGTGACACCCCATCTCTACTAAAAATACAAAAAATTAGCTGGACATGGTGGCGCACACCTATAATCCCAGCTACTCGGGATGCTGAGGCACGACAATCACTTAAGCCTAGGAGGCAGCGGTTGCAGTGAGCCGAGATCGCACCATTGCACTCCAGCCTGGGAAAAAACAGCCAAACTCCAAATGCTTCAAACAAAACAAAACAGCTGTGTGTGAAGAACAAAAAAAAAGGACATTATGCCTAGAGCCAGCACAAGCAGAGTGGTAAGAAATAGAGAAGATGATGTCTGAGAGGAGAACAGGGACCAGGTCCTGCAGGGCAGTATAGGCCATGGTAAGAACTTTGGATTTTTATTCTAAGGTCGACAGAAGTCACTACAGGGTTTTAAGCAGGAAAATGACATTATATGGCTTCTGTTTTTAAAAGATTTCGCTAATTGCTGTGGAAAGAATGATTGGTAGAAAGAAGGCTCAGAGTAGATGTTATTCCAGTGGTCTAAGCAAAGAAATGCTGGTGCTGTGGACAATGATCATGGCAGCAGAGACTGAGATAAATAGAGTGACAAATTTGGGGGAAGAACTCACAGACTTGGTGACAGATTACACATGAGAGTTGATGGTAGGGTAGAGTAGGAAGCTTTCATTTTTCACCTGAATACTGGGCAACTGATGGTATCATTTAATGAATTGGAGACACAAACAGGAACAAGTTTACACACACATGCACATGTGTGCAGCGCACACACACACAAGTCAAGAGTTCCATTTTTTATATAATTAAGTTCAAGATACCATATGGTATCTTGATACCAGATTTATATAATTAAATCTCCATATGGAAATGTCAAGCAGCCAATTAGATTTGTAAGTCTGAAGTTCAGCAGAGAGATCTGGCCTGAAGATACAGACTTGGGAATCATCTGTATATCAATTATATTTAAAGCAACAGGCCTTAATGAGACTACTTAAAGAACAGAACCTTTCAGGCTTACTTGAATGTTAAACAACCTATTTATCTAATTACACAACAGCAAGTCTCTATGTTCATCCCTCTTTTACAGGTATGCATGTAATTTATAGAGCCACGCAGTACTAAGGCAGAGGTAGAAAAAGTGCTAAAGCCTGAGAGATGAGAGTAAAGTGTTACATTTGGAAATTAAAGTACACCATCATATACAGAAGATATTAAAAATTAGGCACCACCTGAAATAATATAATAACGTACATAAAAAACAATTTTAGGTTCTTAGGTGCAAACTTTAGGTAATCCAATATTCAGGCTGAACATGGTGGCTCATACCTGTAATCCCAACACTTTTGAGCCCAAGAGTTCAAGACCAGCCTGGGCAGCATGACAACACCTGGTCTCTACAAAAAAATACAAAAATTACCCAGGCACAGGGGCATACACCTGTAGTGCCAGCTATTTGGGAGGCTGAGGTGGAAGGATTGCTTGAGTCTGGGAGGTCAAGGCTGCAGTGAGCTGTGATCATGCCACTGCACTCCAGCCTGGGTGACAGAGAGAGACCCTGTCTCAAAAACAAAAAACACACATACCCAATTTCAAAGGCTCAGAGGTCAGACACAAGAAAAGACAGAAAAGGCCTGGCCAGTGAGACAGGTAGAAAGAAACTCAAGTGAAGAGAAAGAGTTACACAAGTATGTTTGCTCTAATGTAGCAGGTAATTTTAAGATGAACCCCGAATGGCCTATGTCTCTTCACTTCTGCGTACTTTAAACCGTCAAGTGAAAGGGTAAATGTAAAAACAGTAGATAATTATTTAATAGCAAAAGCAGCAAAAAGAAACTGTCATTGCTTATTCCAACTCTGCCAATTACCTTGCATGAAATAAAGTAGTAACAGCCAAACAAAGATTCTTAAAGAGGTAACCTGAATCCACCAATTGCTGAACAATGGAAAAAATACAACTCGAACAAGCCCCTTCCGAGTCAGAGATGTCCATGGAATTTCAGGTTTTGCTTTGGCAAATGTTGACCCTTTAAACATACAATAAAACAAAACATCAAACATTCATATACACTGTATTGATGCCCACCTGTAGCACTACATTAAAAACAGGTGAGTGCAAACATCAGCACAAAACCTGTTCAGTTAAAAAAAAAAAAAAAGAAAAAACCCTCTTAGATGTCTGTTAAATGTAATAACTTCTTGCCTCAATCACTAGGACAGAAGCTCAAAATAAGTCAGGCTTACTTGAATGTTAAACAACCTATTTATCTAATTACACAACAGCAAGTCTCTATGTTCATCCCTCTTTTACATGTATGCATGTAATTTATAGAGCCACGCAGTACTAAGGCAGAGGTAGAAAAAGTGCTAAAGCCTGAGAGATGAGAGTAAAGTGTTACATTTGGAAATTAAAGTACACCATCATATAGAGAAGATATTAAAAATTAGGCACCACCTGAAATAATATAATAACGTACATAAAAAACAATTTTAGAACTAACCTCTGATTAAGTCAACGTCAATCAAGTCTGGCTTTATGTGGCCCATCTTTTTTGGTTTGTTTTTCAAACCCTAGGATAAAACAAAACAAAAACAAAACCAGAAATAAATAAAAGCCCTTTTATTTACTTTTTCTTTTTTTGAGACGTAGTTTCGCTCTTGTTGCCCAGGCTGGAAAGCAATGGTGTGATCTCAGCTCACTGCAACCTCTGCCTCCCAGGTTCAAGTGATTCTCCTGACTCAGCCCCCTAAGTAGCTGGAATTACAGGTGCCCACCATTAAGCCCGGCTAATTTTTCGTATTTTTAGTAGAGATGGGGTTTCACCATGTTGGCCAGGTTAGTCTCAAACTCCTGACCTCAGGTGATCCACTCATCTCGGCCTCCCAGAAGTGCTGGGATTATAGGTATGAGCCTCTGTGCCCAGTCAGAAAAGCCCTTTTAAATACAGAAAATAAACTTAAATTTTTTTTTCTGTATATCTGATTCCCTTTTACTAAGGACACTTTAATCCTAAAGCTCCTTAAAGGAACTTGCCATTAATACACATTTTGTCTTAGTTTTTAATCCTCTCCACTAATGCATCCATATACTTTATCACTTTTTAAAATATTCGAACAGTGCCAACAGATCAATACATGAAAAATAATAGCCCCCTGAGCCATCTCTCCTCTCCTCTGAATTTCACTCCTCAAAAACAAATAACTTTCATCTTTTTTTTTGCTCTACTATTTTTAATTGACACGTTATAGTTGTGCACATTTATGGGGTAGAATGTGATATTTCAATACATGTATACAATGTATAATGATCAAACTATATCACCTTGAACATTTATCATTTCTTTGTGTTGGGTTCATTCAAAATCCACCCTGCTAGGTATCTGAAAACATATAATAAATTGTGGTTAATTATAGCCACCTCACAGTGCTACAGAACACTAAACCTTATTCCTATCTAGCTGTACTTTTGTATTTGTTAACCAAGCATTGGCTATCTGTCGTTCCCTCCCTCTTACACTTCCACACCTCTAGTAACTACTATTCTACTCTCTACTTCTATGAGATCAACTTTTTAGCTTCCATGTATGTGTGAGAACACGAAGTATTTATCGTTCTGTGCCTGGCTTATTTCACTCTGCATAATGTTCTCCATTTCCATTCATGTTGCCGTGAATGACACAACTTCATTCTTTCTTACAGCTAAATAATATTCCATTGTGTATATATACCATATATTCTTTATCCATTCATCTGTTGATGGACACGTATGAATTCCATGTCATGACTATTGTGAATAATGCTGCAATAAACATAGGAATACAGATATTCCTTCGACATATAGATTATCTTTCCTTTGGATATATACTGAGACTGCTGGATCACATGGTAGTTCTATTTCTAGTTTTTTGAGGAACCGCAATACTGTTTTTCATAGTGGCTATACTAATTTACATTCACACCACCAGTGTATAAGAATTCCCCTTTCTCTGCATCCTTGCCAGCATTTTTTTTTTTTTGTCTTTTTGATAACAGCCATTCTAAACTAGGTTGACGTGGTATCTCATTGTGGTTTGATTTGCATTTCCCTAATGACTGGTGATATCGAGCATTTTTTCATATACCTGTTGGCCGTCTGTATTGTCTTCTTTTGAGAGATGTCTATTCAGCTCAATCGTCCATTTTAAAATTGAAGTATTTGGATTTTTGCTATTGAGTTATTTGAGTTCTTTATATATATTAATCCTTTTTCAGATGAAAAGTTTGCAAATGCTTTCCCTCATTCTGTAGGTTGTCTCTTCAATCTTGATTGTTTCCTTTGCTGTGCGGAAGCTTTCTAGTTTGATACAATCCTATTGGTCTATTTTTGCTTGTTACCTGTGCTTCTGAGGTCTTCTCTATAAAATCTTTACCCAGACCAATGTTCTGAAGCATTTCCCCTATGTTTTCTTCTAGCAGTTTCAGGTCTTACATTTAAATCATTAATCTATTTTGGCTTGGTTTTTGTATATGGTGAGAAATAGTGGCCAGGCACGGTGGCTCACCCCTGTAATCCCAACACTTTGGGAGGGGCCAAGGCGGGAGGATACCTGAGGTCAAGAGTTTAAGACCAGCCTGGCCAACATGGTGAAACTCTGTCTCTACTAAAAACACAAAAAGTGGCTGGGCATGGTGGTGAGTGCCTATAATCCCAGCTACTCAGGAGGCTGAGGCAGGAGAATCACTTGAACTGGGAACGTGGAGGTTGCTGAGATCACACCACTGCACTCTAACCTGGGCAACAGAGCAAGACCCTGTCCCTTAATTTAGAAAATAATAATAAAATAATTTGTACATGCTAATTCTTAATTACATCTTAAAAATTAGATATTCAATCATTAAAATTAATGCCAAAATTAAAGTTTACAATAATTTGCTATTTACCTATCATGGTCATTGAAACAGTATTGATCTTTAGCTTTGTTTAAACAGATGCAGTCAATTTCTCTTGTGAATCCTATATATTTCTATTCAACTCACCATAAGCTGTAGATTTTACAGAAAAATATTCTAAAACCTCAAGTGTAATAAAATTAAAGAAGGAATCAAAATTTGAAAATGAGGCAACTCAAGGAAAAAACCCTTTGAAGAAACATGTACACTAATTTTTGAAATATGCATAATTTTCACGAGAATAACAATTATCTTGTATGCTATATTCAAAATCAGAAATTAAAAATTTAAAGGTAAAAATATTACTTTATACCTTTTTGGACATTTGTCCCAGTGCTAAGCTTTCCGGACATTTGTACCAGTGCTATTCCCCATGACTTTAGAGTCAAAATAATCTTTCTGCTTTCTTTGCTTTCTAGACTTTTCTCCAATAATGTTACAGCGTTAGAATTAGCATTAACTAGAGGTACAATTATCCAAATCTCCCTTAGCAATAGAAACACATTTATTCATTCACTCCGTCAAAAAATATTCCACAAGTATCTTCTATATGTCAGATACTCTGCTTGAGCTAGGTATAAAACAATAAGTCAAAACATGGCTCTATCTTCAACGAATGTACAGTATAGAAGGGAAGACAAATGATAAGGCCAAATGTACAAGGGTTTCTCAGGAAAATGCCCTCTCAATCTCTCCATTTTTTTAATTCCTAAAGAGACAGAAATCATTAATAAATTTATGACCACTGATCTCAAGGAAGATTAGAAAAGTCACCATATACTGCTGTATATTTTGTACTGAAGGAGAGTAAAAACCACATTCCATACTTTTGTTTTAGAATTCTTCTGCTTTATCTTCCACCGTGCAGGTATGTATAAGAGGAAGTACATGCCAGGCACTATCCTAAGCACTTTCACATATAGTCATGCATCACTTAATGTCAGGGATACATTCTAAGAAATTCATCTTTAAGTGATTTCACTGTTGCCTGAACATAGCTTACTACACACCTAGGCTATATGGCAGCCTATTGCTCCAAGGCTATAAATCTGTCCAGCATATTACTATACAGAATATTTAGGCAATTTTAAACACAGTGGTATTTGTGTCTAAACCTAGAAAAGGTATAGTAAAAATATGGTATAAAAGATAAAAAATGGGGCTGGGCGTGGTGGCTCACCCCTGTAATCCCAGCACTTTGGGAGGCCAAGGCAGGAGGATCACCTGAGGTCAGGAGTTCAAGACCACCCTGGCCAACATGGTGAAACCCCATCTCTACTAAAAATACAAAATTAGCCGGGTGTGGTGGTGGGCACCTGTAATCCCAGCCACTCAGAAGGCTGAGGCAGGATCGCTTGAACCCGGGAGGCTGAGGTTGCAGTGAGCCAAGATCGCACCATTGCACTTCAGCCTGGGCGACAAGAGTGAAACTCTGTCTCAAAAAAGAAAAATAAAAAATAAAAGATGGTACACCTGTATAGGGCACTTATGAATAGTGCTCTCAGGACTGGGAGTTGCTCTGAGTAAGTCAGTGAGTGAGTGGTCAATGAAAGTAAAAGCTTAAGACACCGCTGTAGTACACTATTGTAGACTTCATAAACACCGTAAACACAAGATACACATCACATTTTTTAAAATCTTCCTTTCTACAACAATAACTTCTTTTTTTCCTCTGAGACAGAGTCTTGCTCTGTTGCCCATGATATAGTGCAATGGCACGATCACAGCTCACTACAATCTCATTCTCCTGGGCTCAAGCAATCCTCCCACCTCAGCCTCCCAAGTTTTTTGTTTTTGTTTTTGTAGAGAAGGGGTCTTGCTTTATCACCCACGCTGGTCTCAAACTCCTGGTCTCAAGTGATCCTCCTGCCGTGGCCTCCCAAAGTGCTAGAATTATAGGCATGAGCCACCTCAACCAGTCTGTTCTATAATAACTTAACCTTAGCTTACTGTAATGCTTTTACTTTATAAGCTTTATAGGTTTTTTAAACTTTTTGACTCTTTTGTAATAACAGTTTAAAAACACACATTTTCTTTTTATCTTTATAAGCTTTTCTCTTTCTTCTTTTTTTTACTTTTTAATTAAAAACTAAGATACCAACACACACAGCCAAGGCCTACATAGGGTCAGGATCATCAATATCACTGTCTCCCACCTCCACATCTTGTCCTACTGTAAGGTCTTCAGGGGCAATAACACACAGGGAGCTGTCATCTCCTATGATCACGATGCCTTCTTCTGGAATACCTCCTGAAGGACCTGCCTGAGACTGTTTTACAGTTAACTGATTTTTTTAAATAAATAGAAGGAGTCCACTCTAAAATAACAATGAAAAGCATAGTACAATAAATATATAAACCAGTAATATAGTCATTTATTATCATTATCAAGTGTTAGGTACTGTACGTAACTGTATGCTATACTTTTTATGACTGACAGTGCATTTGGTTTGTTTACTCCAGCATCACTCTAAACACATGAGTAATGTGTCATGCTATGACTTTAGGATGGCTACAAAATCACTAGGCAATAGGAATTTTTCAGCTCCATTATAATCTTATAGGACCATATGAGGAGCATCGATGACTGAAACATCATTATGTGGCACATGACTGTACTTAACTTGACTCATTTAGTCCTC